TAAAAGATCTATCAATAATTATATTTCTGGTGTGTAATGCATTACAGCTTCACAGGTCTGTGGGTGGTGCTTCAGCATTGTTACCAATAAAATTGGGTTTCATTAGGTGTTCCATTGTGTTTAAGACTATAAAGTATGTTCAGGGCGCTCTAAGGTTCTTCACATGGGGGGAGTCAGGCTCAGCTTTAAGAAAAGTGAAGTACAAACCCTGCGATCTGCTGTAGTATAAAGGCCATTTTTCACAGGCCGAGGAATCCTTTCGCCTGTAGCTCTTACTGTGAAAGGGCAGCGAGGGCACAAACAACAGCCAGTGTTATTTTTATTCCATGTGCCTCTCTCCTCCGCCCAGCTGCAATGTAAAGGTTACAGTAGAAGTGTGGTGTCGGAGGAAGATTAAGTTTGGTAAAACTTCTGTGTGTGGGGGGGGTGCACAGGTAAAGTCGTGCCTTGGGGAGAGAAGAACAAGCAGGCGAGAAGGGGTGGGTGGAAAACCGACACGGGCCTTAGAAAGCTGACCTGACAGCACAATTACATAGCATCATAAACCATGAAATTATTTTCCAACCCGTGCTAGGAGAAAGGGGACACCGTCGGGGGTCACGCAGAGTGTAATTTAATAGTTTTCTCACCTCTGGCCTGAAGCAACATTCTGCTTCAAGTTGGTTGGACCGATCATTCCCTGAGACAGCTCGAGGCTGATGTGACATTTTCACACCGTCCATGTAAATGTGTTAATAGGTCTAATTTAGCTGCACTTCAGATGAATGGTCATGATAATTGAATCTCAGGATTTATTGGTTTTCTACATTTTATAAACCAAGGTCCTCAATCAGTTTGACTTTTCCATGACCAGAGTTTAAAGCAGATAGGTAAAGGTTGGGAAATATTAAAAGATGAGCTTCGGTCAGTTTTCATCATTTAGTGCATAGCCTTCATTTAAAACAAGGTCACAGCTGAAGTCAGGTGGACAAATTAAAACAAATGATGGTACTTTTTGACATATCATAGGTGGGCCTTGGATGGTTTACTCAATTTCCCCTCCTGGGTCATTAAAATATCTCATCTTGATCTTTTTCCAGAAAGATAGACACCGCAACATTTTGGAAATTAACTTTCCAGCTGTTAAATTTGAGGACTTCTACTGTTTTAAAATATTATAGCCTGACTGCATTTCATTCAAACTGAGTAATGTACTGCTTTACAAACTACAATGCTGCTAACCATCAAAGTGTCCAAGGAATTGTTTGCCCTGATAAATTAAATAATTGCGTGTAAAGGCTCATCTGTTGCAAGTGCTGCCTCAGTTTCAGATTTCCAACTACTCTGACAAGTGACTCATCTTTCTATAGAATCTCTTCACACACCCGGAGACACCCAATATCTCTGGCAGCAACAATACTGTCAGAAAGCTGTAGTACTGTACAGGCGTTAAACGATCCAGCAGTACCAGCAAAGCATCTTATCTGATCAAAAGCCTTGTGATAGTAGATGGTTTCAGGTCACGAACAAACCTGATGTTGTCTGTCACAAATAGTTCAGGCTGAGTTCAGTTTGACACAAAAGTGATGAGGCTGAAAAAGTCCATAGAAGCTGTGTGGGCAAGGCAATAAAACCCTAAGGGATTTTTTACATAATACGTCAAAAAAACCCAACAAAAACCAAAAGATAATAGAAACAGAAGAGTGGAGTGAAAAGCAACAATGTGCATCTACACAGAGGATTAATGGTGGATCACGGTGAACTATCAGAATAAACAAACGATTCTTTGGCACCTCTATCCATCTTTATGTTAAACAGAGCTTCAAGACATCCAGTGCCAGTCCACATCAAGTCCCCAGTTTTTCAAGATACAGTATACCCACTCAAGTCTCATGTCCAAACCAACCAAAACAAGCCCAAGTCAAGGGAAGCAGTTCCGAGTACGGTCTAGAAGCAAAGGTCTTTATACACCAGAGGCGAATTTCATGTGCGATTATCTCCCACATCAATAATCATTTTTGAACCAGTATTCTGTCAGTGAATTCTTGTATATCAGTGTTGAATGTGGCATTTATGTTTTTTGCCCCGAGGTCGATTTGTTTTCCAACTTTTGGCCGACGACAGGAACACTGGACAAATCACAATGTGGCTTGTTGGAATGTTGCAACATTGCTACCAAGTGCACTGGTCAGCTGAACTTACCTGATTTGTTTATTGAAGTGGTATATTTTACCTCAGACATAGGAGCAGCTGCTGTTCCGGGTCGATTGGGTCATTATTACTCCTAGGCCTCTTCAAATGCTGCTGCCACAGCCGGATTTGCTTCCCAGCCCAGCGCTGTTGCCGGGGACAAGTCACATTTTCATAAACACAATGCAGACGCAAACGTCATTCAGGTCTGAATCATGAATCAGGTCTGAATAAAGTGACAAGATTATGAACATTTTCCTTTCAAAGCTAGAAATCTGATTTTCTATGTGTAATAATGAAATGCACCAGGCCTAACGTACCCAGCACTTATTCTTCATAGGATGGGAATTTAACTGGGTTAAAATCTGACACTGCCAATGTTTTTGTGTTCCAGTCTTGAATCAAGTCCTCAGGGAGTTGAGTCCAACTGCAGCCCAGAAGAAGCCTTCAGCTCACATACTCATTGCTCATAACATATACTGTATCTTCTGTCAAAGTTTTGGGGGACATTTACTAAGGTTTTGTTGTTCATTGTTCAGCATTACACAGTGAAATTGCATCTTGTTACCAAGGAGCAGTAGCTCGGTTTGGCACCTGATTTACCACCTCAGGCTGATGCTGAAAAAACCTGCGACTGATGCTTAATGTCAGGTGAAAACAGGTTTCAAATTTGCGGCCCTGCTGTCAGTACGGCAGCTGTTACTCATCTGAGACGTCATTAGTGTTAAGAACATGAGGAAAGAGGGTCTTTCTAAATTGCATCTTTCTTTTTGGGGATGCCAGAGGAGAATGTGAGGGACTTCTACAGACATTCAGCAGTTACTGAACCAAATGAAAATATGATTTGACTGCAGCACAGAAATAGATTTGTTGGTTTCTTCAACCAATACTAAAATTCAGTAGCAGTAAACTTAGACTTTCTTCAACGCCCCCTCTCAGGCTGCATGTGCACAATACGGCACCAGGTCAAATCAACACAGCTGTGCTGATTTACATCATCAGTGTTGGTAAATACGCCGACAGTAATGTGCAACAGATTTAGTAAATATCCCTGTAAGTTTCTGTGATCTTGCCTCTTTGGTCCCCACCCATGACTGATTTATTCCAAATGACCTGTTGGGACAGATGTGTTTATAAGACAGTAAAAGTGAAATCTGTACATTATAGAAGCAGCACATGCAGTTCGGTATTTTAACATGTTTGCAGTCAGAATTTTATTTGGTGTTTCCTGTAATCCTTCCCCAGAAACAAGAGGCACAAAAAAACCATGCCAGCTGGCTGAAATGCTCTTTTTAAAAATCATAGGTAAAAGTTGGCCTATGGAAAAAATAAAGAAACTGGTTTAGTGTCAGTCTGCAAACAAGCTCAAGTGAACACAAGGTCATTGATTTGACACTTTTGGATGCACACAACAGACTTTATGTGCACAGTATTTCTCTAGAAGAATGACAAAAAGGAAATGTGTCTTCCATTTAGTGAAACTGTTCCTATAGCAGCAAATGAGCACAACCATATGCAGATGTAACAGCCTCACGGCCACAGTCTCACTCGCCTCCCAAGTGTCATTTTCAAACAAATCATAAATACAAAGTAGATCTGGTCTCTCTCATTCATTTGGGAAATAAAATACTGGAGTGAAATTATTTACATCCTGGTTTTTAACACCTCTGTGGCCTTTAAGGGCCATCATAATGAATATTTAACTAATTAAATCAGAAAAATAACTTTTACAAAAATTCCAAACCAAATTATTAGCAAAAGAAAAACAAATGCAACCATCACATTCTCAGAATTTTGTTTCAGTAACATCTCAAACATTTGCTTCAAGTGTTCAAAGGCAACAGCATTGTGGTATTTGGCTAAGCAGAGCATCTAGCGTGCATCTGGCCACTAATCAGCTAAGGCATTAATAAACAGTGGTCTGAACCACAAAGCACAGAAACACCTCCCGTACTCATGATTGATCTCACGCTACCTGATTGTTAGATGCTTGTTTTGACATGACAACATTGTATAGAACACAATTTGATGCATAATCAGGTGTCAGGAAGTACCTGAGAAAGTTGCATGCTGTTAAATACTGTTAAATATGTTAAATACTTGTGCAATGAACGCAAAGTTTGGTAGGTAGGTAGGTTTTACATTTTGACTGACTTCTCCTTTTGATTCTTCAAAACCAAGGTGGGATGTTTCTGTGCAGAGGTGACAGTTGTTAATAGAAATTCATCATCCAGACACGTTTCTGTCCTGTGCTGAGTACTTCACAGTAAACACCAATTTAGCAGGATTCAAGACAGTTTAAGACTGGGCTTCCTTTGGTTGAGGAGCGAGTTTGAGAAGTGCACTGCATTCACCACCAAAAAAAAAAAAAGGCGACCCCTCCCTGTAGTTCCGAGATAATGTACAGTTACTGGTGCTGGGTCTGGGATGCTTCAGAACTTGCCTGAGAAGTGTCAGTTGCCCAATAGCACTTAGCAAAATGTGTCTTTTGTGTTCTAAAATGTAGAATATAGGCTAAAAATGAGGCCCAGGTTGCAGCCCCCATGGCAACATTATGCTTCCTGTTTTTTGTAAAGGTTTGACTTGTTGACCCGAGTTAAAACTTAAGGTGTAATGTGAATTTTTCCAAAAGGACAGGCTTTATAGAATCTAGACAGTTAAATCGGGAAGCCCACGATGCTCCTGTCATCTCAAATAGTGATGCTTGATAACCACTACAACCTCTTACAAAAAGCAGGAGGCATAATGTTGCCATGGATACTGTGAGGTACACTGTGGGCTTCAACTTGGGCCCCGTTTCTTAGCCTATTTTTGTTTTTGAACATAAAATGTGCCGAATTAGCTGTTAACACTTCCTGGTTGCTGTGTGCTATTGGATGTCCTGATACCAATCAGTGAATTACTTTCATAGTGAAGAAATTTAAAAAACCTGAACATTCTCAGGCAGGTTCTGAAGCGTTCCAATCCCAGCACCGGTAATTGCCCATTATCTCACAAACTCTGGTGGATGCAATGTGCTGAAATAGCACTTAAAAGTCTCTTTCACAATGAAGAAGCTCATTACCACATACAGGCATTAGACCAGTTTTAAACTTCTGACCTGCAAACCAGTGCTTATTGGAATACTTCTTACAGTACCTGTGATTTTACAGAATTAGCACTAGTCTGCCTGTCACCCACACTGTGTATAGTTGGCAGTTTATTAGGTACACCTGCCTACAACTGAGCCAGCCTAATCCAACAGTCCTGTAGTAAATCCTCCTCATGAAGGTGATAATGTTCAGCGTTGATTCAACTGCAGCATCATTTTGGAGGCTGGAGTTTGTGCTGTGCTACGCTGAGGTGTGTTTCCATTATTGTGTCCACCCCGTTTCTACCAAGAGGCCAGTCAACAGAAACACATGCAATAGCAGCACAAAAGCCTCCAAAAAGATCCTCCAGTTGAATCAATGCTGGGCATCGTCTCCTTCATGGAGGAGGATGTGTTGTTGGATTAAACCGAGCTATAGGTAGGTGGTCCTAATAAACTGAGTGTACGTCTCTGTCAGCATCCAAGCAGTGTGTTCTCCTACTTTTAATCCGGCTGTGAAGCCAAATGAGACAGTGGTTTTTCCGACGTCTGCTTTCTTGCATACATCCCATTTATTTCTGATGCAGTTCCTCCTGGCTTCACAGCTCCCATCGGTAGCAGCAGCTATTTTGTGTCCCTGGTAGGGATGACAAATGGTCCAAGCCAGTTGGGGTTGAGGATCCAGGGAAGCCTCTGCTAGAATCCATTGTCGTAATCACCGTCAGAGCCGTAACCTGGAGGGCAAGAGAGACGGCAGCAAGAGTTAAGCATCAGCCAAGTGTCAACACAAAGGAAAACTGGTCCGTTTACAAATGGGGTTCTGATACGAGTGAACAATATACACATACAGTACCCACACTGGCCACTTTATTAGGTACACCTGTATGCACTTCAACAACACCTCAACCGCCTGTGTTTATGAAGCTCAGAAAGTTTCAGTCTTTGGTGAAATTGTCATAAGTGTATATATTCAATCATATGTTTATTACTGAGGTCATAGTTAAAGGTGGTGTTGAACTGGACTACATTATATTCAGATATTTCATAAACATATCAATGAATGCATACATTTATGACAATTTCAAATGAACAGATCGTTGAAACTATCCACCTCACCACTAGCTCTCCTGTTGCCCTTGAGTCATTTTCTCTAGTACGCTTTAAAAACTGGGCCAGTTTCTTCCTCCTTGTCTACTTTTTGTGGTTTTAATTAGATTGTACTGTTCTAATGTATTTCTGTATGTAAAGTACTGTGAACTGCCTGTTTTTGAAATAAATGTAAAGTGTAAGTTTAGTATCAAAACCAAAATTTCTTTTGGTCTGTTACTGTGGGGAAAATCTCCTAGTAGGAAAAGTGAGCAAGACGTGCTTTAAGACCCTAAAGCTTAGGTTTTACTAGCAGCTCTCGTGCCACTGTGACACGTCCGATGAAACATGGTGTCGCTGGAGAAAAGGGAACATCACGTTTCCACAGACTTGAAAAGAAGCTTAGAAACACTTCAGCCCGCAGAAATGCTCCGTTAGTTATGTGACTTAATAAAGAGCAACAACGGGTCAAAACAGTAAAAACTGTCACTTTACTTATCCAGCTCCAAGATGCTTCTCTGAGCCTGACCTTTGACCTCTCTGTGGAGGGGGAGCTCCCCTACAGGAGGCAATTAGCTAGCTCAGGACTTCTTACTGGGCCAAAGTCGGGGACCTTAAAGTCCCGAGACGTAGAGTGAAGGAATGTAATCTGCCTGAGGGCTCATTAAAGGGTAGCAGGAGTGGAGCAGAAACCGCGACGTGACCCAGAGAGGCTCAATCTCTAGAAAGATGATTGTGACGTTTGTGTCAACTACATTCAAATGTTCAAACTAAGCGATGGGGAAAAATCTCACTCATCAAGTCATGGAGCCTAAAGAGAATCATTTCCTGTACAGAATCTGAAGGCGTCAAGAATTGAGGGCAACAAACTGCCTTAGTCAGTCTTGTCTCAAATACTAAACTACTAATCCATTTGTTTTATCTACCAGTTTAATTGGTTCTAGAACTTCTATGACTTTTATCTATACTGTTTTTACTTATTTTTAATAAATGTTTTTGCTGTTTTCTTTCTATTCACTTATTATCTAGGCACCCACCTTAATAGGTTTCTCTGGCTGCTGTGGGAGATGCCCTACTGTCTCATTGTGTTTTATATACAATGACAAAGGAATCTGAACCCTGATCATTGCTTTGCTCAGTATCAAAAAATGAACATTTTAATTATTATTTTTGGGCTCAAAATTTTTTAACAATATGAAATTAATACACTGACAGAAGTGTTCAGTGTCTCCACATGAGGCTAAAGGAACTGGACTGAATGGACTCTATGATACAGATGTTTTTGCCAAACTAATTCACACATTTTTAACCAAAAGCCTATTTTTTAAGTCTTATTTTATATTTTTACTCATAACTTACTTTCAGCTAGTTTTAAGTAAGGTACCTTGTGTATTTTCTTTTGTGGCAGCCCAACAGACAATTGAAGACAAATTAAGGGTTAGGGTTAAGGTCAATTAATTCAGTCTCCTAGCATTATGAACTCAATCACTGCAGTTAACAGGGGTTTCCCCACCATAAAAAGTGTTTTTGTGGAAGGTCTAAGCCAAATGAATGTACAAATATCAGTATGAATGTAGGTAGAGCCATGGATAAGGTCGGTCTCCACAGAGAATACATGAAGCAGGCTACAGCTTTGTTAGGAGTCATTCGTAACAGAGAATTAGCCTGTTTTACAAGTAAAGGAATTGTTAATGTAGCTAACATGTACTGAATTAGCTAAGTTAGCCAAGGTCACATAAATAATGTTATAAATTCAAGTGAGAATTTCCTTCCAGTAATTTTGACTCAAAGCACATGTGAAAGCTCATGATGCAAAAACATGTGACCGGATTGGCACGTTGGTACTGGCGATGCAGGAACATGGTAAAATTAACTAACGGAGACCTTTTGACGTCGGATACATTGCTCAGTCTGTGGAAACGTGTGTTGTTGGAACTAAATCACTGTTTTTGCGTAATGACATACAAACTAGTTGAGTTTCAGCCTTGGACCGATGGGAATGTGAGGAAACACCAGCACCTGGTGTAACCAAGAGTGTGTTTGCACTGACCGCTGCCACCCATCAGCTCCATGGCACTGACGCAAGTCTCCTCTTCCTCCTCATCTTCATCGTCAGCAGCTGCATCATCATAGACAACTGGGCCGCTCTCCACCACCACTCCGCTGGTGGACGCCCCTGGAGACATGGACAGGGGCTTGGAGCTTTCCACCTGGGTAAACAGGAAATATTGTTGGTTGCACGTTGTATTTTTTCCTCTGTGTGATACGAGTTTGCCACTGGGAGGTCGGAGCTCGATGTGATCTCAGCTGCCCCACTTCCTTTAACGTGCTAAAACAACAACGGTGTGGTCTGACAGTGTGTGGTGTGAGCTGCAGGGCAGGAGGAGTGTACACAGAGTACCACTAAATACAGCATCAGAGCGTGACCACAGCCTTTATTATCATACTTTTCATTATTGTCTAATTTAGGATTCTACGTTTTAAAATCTGCATTGCCTACTGCTTTGTAAAAGACAAAAGGGTCAGAAATTAACCTGAGCCTCGGGGCAGAAACTCGCTTCAGAGGTCATAAAAAGCCTGTGAAATTAAAGATGAAGGGGCGAGCGTGGGGCAAAATGTAATTGGACTGCCTGCATTTCACCCTGCTCACATCGTCTCAGCTGAGATGTCAAACGTTCACGCATGAATGTGACAAGTTTGCCCCCTGAGCAACTCTGTAACCAGGAGTCTCCCCAGTTTCATGCTGGGAGACCAAAACGAAGCGGTTTTTGATCTAAAAACAAGGAACCTGAGCCGGGAGGGCGAGATGGCAGCAGGGAGGGAAATGAAACAAATGGAATGACAGAAAGCTGACCCTGCTGTGGAGACTTTGGGGGGGTAGCCATTTTCCAACAGTGGAAACAATGAGGTGCAGATTGAGACCTGACCTGCCACATTACCACATTCTCTCTCCTCAGTCCCACCAAGTGAACACAGCAGTGAATGATTTCACCCTAACCTACTTCTCATTTGATCTGCAATGGGTGACAGGTCAAACTTTCACACAGCGGCCAACACTGTCTCCAGAACCTCATCAGGTCTCCTCTGTCAGAGGAGGAAACCTCCTCCTTCCAAACCAGATCCCCTCACTGCGTCCGACCCCACTGTGTCCGACCCCACTGCGTCCGACCCCACTGTGTCGTCCTCATGAAGCCATTCAGTGACCTAGAGCTGCAGCCATGAGTCAGTTCACTGGTAGAAAATGAACCTCAGCTATTTAGAAGCAACAGTCACCGACATGTTCTGGTTCCACCTTCTTTAATATGCTTTTCTTTGTCAGACAGGAGAATCAGCTGAGTCTCTTTGCACTTGTTTGACATTCTATAATCTACATCTATAATCAAGACAATATAATGTAACAGACAGAACTGTTGTAAGGCTGGAGAAGTCAGTATGTCGGCATTATGGCAGTTAAAATATGGGGTTTCTTAATTACCAGCTTTGCTACACATCTCTTTTCATCGGGACATATACCGCTGTTTGCCTATCTATGGAGGAGAAATCCAAATTAATTAATGCTGTTATGGTTCGTTATGCTGTCCACTTATGACAACACCGGCAGCAGGAGTTGTGCACGTTCATGAACTATCCTCTAGTTTTTAGGAAGAGGATTTTTGGTTTTATCATTCTGAAATAATTAGACTATTTGGAGTTATGAGGGGCACCAAGGCAATCTAGAGGTACCCAAGATTAAACATTAAATGGCTGGAAACAAGCAAAATGAGCAGCCATGGGCACTTTGATTATGTGATAAGACAAAGACCATTTCCTCCCAGGTACATCTGACCTCAGTCTGAACAACCACTTCTCAGCTTCAGTCTGGGTCTTTATTCATTTTACCTGGTAATGAACTGTACAGACAGCAAGAGGCAAACAAACTGACACCAGGGCGGATGGCGGTGCAGGGTGGGGGAGGTTTTACCCTTCTCTTCTACCTGCCGTCTGCCTCAGACACTAAACCATCTCATGGTGGTTTTCAGCTCCAGAATATAAATAAAAACACCCTCTGTCTTTACCACGGTGCCAATGAGGAACCCTGCACATTGTCATTCTCTTTCAGCCACGGTTAATTATAAAGCTGGAGAAGTGGCAGGTGGAGGGGCCACAGTGTGGCAGAGAGATATTTCTGTTGGACCCCCTGCTGGGGCCCTTCGTTTCTGCCTCCCTCCGCCTGCCACCGCTCCCCCCAATTTGCCGTTCATGTCCTTCTCCATCCTTCCTTTCCTCCCACCTCTCTTATTTCCTCTCCCTTTTTCATTCTACCTACATCCTTCCTCACTTCATCCTTCCCTGCTCCCTTTGTGCCTTTACATATCGATGCCCATTTTGGCTTCTTTCACTGTTTCGCACTTCTATCTCCAGGCTCTGATAAATAGCCAAGCATCACACAATAAGAAAACTACAAAACATGAAAAACGCTCATTCCTCGACTCGGTCCTTTCGTTTCCTCTCACCGGACTTTAACCTCACCGCTGTAACAGGGCTTCTCATCACAGGAGCTGGACGCCTCATTAACCGCCGGTGAACACAGGCGTTAATGTGAGCAAATAAAAAAAACTCACGAAGAAGAACACAGCATCAACACTGTGCTCCAGACCAATTAGGAGGTGAGAGCAGTTAAATGGGTCAGGAGAGAAGTTTGTATGTTGGTGGGAGCTGTTGCTGCTCACATTAGTACACAGATAACCGACAGAGTCCGAGTGCCTCTAACGAGAGAGAGGCTTGTTAGGAGAGAGAGAGAACAAGGCCTGAAGCAGCTGCAGGAAACAAACGCTCCAGGAGGTTTCATGTTGCCCTCTGGTCGCCGCCAGTTACTCGTTCACAGAACAGCTCGACTGAGAGCAGAGGATTTAAATGTTATGACACCCAGGAAATAAATATCACAGAAACATGCAAGTCAGAGTCTCTGTTTACTTTTGTTCAGCTACAAATCACAAGCACTTGCCAGTGACTGATCACCAGTAACTACAACACCAACACTAATTTAAAACCACCACAAAACAGACAAGAGCAGCAGCAACCTCATGTTTACAACCCAAACCATGATTCTCCATGGAACAAAAACAACAGGAGGCTTTAGGAGACCCAACACTGAACAGCACACAGCACAGCTGCTGAACTTCCTACAGAGGTGTTGCACCTGCCGGCTGCGTTGCTTTCACTCTTCACCTGTGAAGTCTGGACACAGTGCTGCCGTCCCATCATGTGGAGACGACTGTCTTGTTTCTTTTAAACAGCCTAGAGGGGTTTTTACTCCTTCCCCTGCTACAGGATGAAACCAAGCCCCCAGGTTCAGCTCTGGGCTGTTCAGCTAATCTGGCAGAGTGGACAAACCATGTTACTGCAGCTTCCACGTTCACCACGTTTTCCCATAGAGAATAATTAGAAGCAGCTCTAAAATGGTGAATATATTTTTCTGAGTATCACAAACGCTTTGAAATGACTCGTTATTAATCAGAATTTGATTCATTGGGTCAAATATCATTTGGAAAGTCCGGTTTAGCCACAGGGTATTTTTATTTTATCCCATTCGTGGTGTGTGGTGCCATCTCGTCCAACAGGAGACCCGGCTCGATACAAGATGCTCTACGGGCCCCAAAATTCTGAAGCACGTGGAACAACTGGGTAATTTTTATGGCTGGAATCCAGCACTGCCTGACAGAATCTGTTGTCACAAGTCACCAACAACAGTTTACTAACACGGCTGCTGGAGGATCCCTGCAGAAGGCCTGGTTTACATACATTTACATGCATTTATAGTTTTTATGTCAAAAGAAAAACTGGAACAGTTGTGTATCTGACATTCACATGATGAATAAATGATTGGGTCTCGAGTACCACGGTTCACAATGTGCGGCTTTCACACACAACATGTTAGTATTATCAACGACTTGCAGGCAAACACTTAGGTTCATTAAAAAAGCAGGAAAATGAGTTTCGGTACCGTCCTGCTTCGTCAGGGTGAATGAGGCAGTTGCTGTGTTTCTACATGACACACTGACGGTGCCACACACGTGATTCAGTCCGACAGCTTCTCTGAGAACTTCAAATAGAGTCCGTCATCAACTGCCAAAACTATTTCTTGCATAAGCAACACCAGGGCGACCGTCTTCCTTCCCCTGACCTCAGCACCCCGCTCACATTTCTAAGCCTGTCTGAAAATCACCTCCAACTGCCTCCACCAGCTTCAGTCTCACACTAAGTGCGCTGAGAAGGGGTGGACGAAGAGGAGAAGGGGTGGACGAAGAGGGGAAGGTGCAGCGCCAAACAGCTGGACCAGTTCCAGTTGGCAGAGATCGACTTACTCCTTTCTCTGTCTTGTAAACTGATCATTTCCTCCCATGGCTTGTTGGAAAAATGTACAGACTAATTACTGGGTCACTGATGAGGGGGCAGGATGAGTTTTTGTTCAGTGTCAGACGGGAGGAGCTTGGCAAGTGACTCCCAAATCACACAGCGTTTTTCAGTCTGGGCCTGTCGCTGCAGTGAAATGGCAACATTACATAACAGGAGCTGTGGGCGAGGAGCGGCCTCAGCCAATGGCGACGTCCGTTTGCTTCCCGTTCCCAGGGGGAGGTGAGGGGGGTTGCTAAGTAACAAGCCATTTTGACCCGGCCCCTCGTGGCAGTGTTTTCTTCCTGGCTGACAGAGCCAGAGCTGCCTGGGCTCCTCCATTCAGAGCTGCCAGCAGCACATGATGGAGTGGGAAAGGAGGAGGAGGAGGAGGAGGGGAGATGAAGGCATGGGAAGGAAAAATTCCCATCTGAAACCTTTTCTCGATTCTCATCCTTTAATTTCCCCAGAATACCTGGTATTCTGATCTCAGAATCAAAGCCCCATGAAGTCACACTAGAAAGTAAAAGTTATCATTTGTAATGTGACAAGTTTCAATGAAATGTGGTCCTGTTCTAATAAACAGGTGTTTTTTCACCTTTTGTACATTGTTCTGTTGCTCCAAAAATAAACATCAGCTTTGGACAAAATCCACCGGCTTCATTAAAACTTCACTTTAATTTGTCTCCGTTGATTCCTCACATCAAAATCTACGCTGCCTTTCAAGCCGCCTGCCGACCGTAGACTGATGAGGACACAATGTGAAAATACATTTGGTCGACAAATGAAAGAAAAACCATGAATAACTGAGTGGTCTCCTCCAGGACGACAGCGCCTCCCCCTATCCACAGGTCACTGACTGGTCTGATGAGGACGAAGGAGATGGCAATCAGATGCTGTGGCCTTCACGGTCACCAGGTCTCAGCCCAAACATTAAGTCCTGCCCCTTTGCTCCTTAATGGAAATGACAATGACGGCCGAGTGAAGCAGGAAGGGATGAAAAGGCAGAAACGTGGAACGTGACATGTGGAAGACTTTCAGATCCTGTAAATCTACCTAAATTCAGAAACTAAGTCAGTTGACGGGCCTGTTTCTGTGCTGGTGAAAGCTGTGAAGCTATAAGTGGCCAGAAAGAGGACATTTAGAAATTCACTGTTCAAAGACAAAGTCTGACTGGGTTTAGAAAAGCAGACAGGACTCGTATTTTACCAACAAGCTTTTTCTTTCTCGACTCATCTTAAACCCGAAGACTGGCCAGCAGAAGCCCATTATGGCAGGGGTGGGGGGTTAGAGAAGCTCTCGAAAAAGTGCAGTTTAAGACATTTTTATGTTCAAGTTTAAGGGTTTTTTTATTTTAGGACCCTGTCAGAGTTCTTTAGGAGCAGTCAGGGCACTGGAGGGAGGAGGAGAGTGAAGGAGAAGTAATAAGAGAAGGGCAAACAAAGACGAAGCGAGGTTCACCTCTCGCACGGCCTGAGTGCAGATTTATTTAGCCCGTCTGCTCTGCAGGAGATCTCGGCAATCAGCCTTTAATGGTGGACCAGGAGAGACCGATGGGGAATCACAGTGTGTCTCCAGGTGCCGTCTGCTGCCAGCACAGCTCCATTATGTGCAGACGGGAAGTGTGTTTTAAAACGGTGAAAAGAGGAGGCCTAGTGTTTGAGTTTCCTTATTGCCTACAAACCCCATTACAAGACAAAAAACAAATGAATGTCTTCTACTAACAGTCCTGTGTCTGCAAAGCCTGAGATCTCTCCTCCCTCTGAGCCACAGCGCTGCACTGTCCACAAACTATCAGCCATCAGTGACCAGACTGTTGCACTGGGTCACATGTTCCTTCGTCACCATGAACGAACACACACACACACACACACACACACACACACACACTGTAGTTCGACAAAGTCCCTCACACACTGTCCTGCTGCCACTAATACTCACTAAAGACCAAATGCAGATTCATCCGCTGCTGAAAATAGTCCCCGAGACTTTGCTCCTGTTTGAATTTAGCCGAGGGCAGTTCAGGAATAAAAGAACCAGAGAGGAAAGTTGTTTTGGGCTAATTTAGAGAATTAAATCATTTAAGTCTGTTTAGTTTTTGAGTTTCAAAATGCACTGAAGTTATTTCAGGTTAAAGAAAACAGCTTTGGACTCCGAGAGGAAGCCAAAGTACCCAGAGAGAACCCACGCAGGCACAGTGAGAACTCCACACAGAAAGGCCCCGGGTCGGCCCGGGCTCAAAGCAGCGTTAGCCACTGCTCCACCATGCTGCCCAAATCTTTATCAACAAACCTATTATTAGTACAATGAGAGAATTAAAGGTTTAGTGCATGTTTTAAGAACAACCCTGTGCCCATATACACAGAACACGTCCCAGTCAAGTGATGTCCATGCCCTTCACAAATGTCTGACAGCGAAGGCCAAATGAATTAACCCTTTAAGCCATATAATTTACAGTTTGTGGGTCTGTTTTATCACGTTCTTGTTTCCTGACCTGCACCTTTCAGCTGCTTTTATGTATTTGCACATCCTGTGTGGCAAAAACTACCGTTTTACCAAAACGTTTAAATAAACAAAACCATAATTTTTTTGGCTTCAGATAAGTAACAGTGATGACAAGAGCGTGAATGAAGAGAAAACCCTTTAGGAGTGAGCAAACAACTGACTGAGTGTGTGAGAGAGGAAGAGACGAACGGGGATGTTATCTGTCTGAGTGATTGGGTGACAGGTGTGTGTGTGTGTGTGCACATGTCTGTATAGTGCAGGAGGGCGAGCTATGGTCTGAGTGAGTGGGAAGACGAAACAGAGCGAGTGAGTGACGGAGACGAACAGCAGACGTACTGAAGATGAAGATGGCTCACCTGCTCCTGCTCCACAGCCAGCTTCTTGATGGGCTGCCTGGTGATGAACGGATGCAACCTGCAACACAAACACCAACACTCCATCAACACTGGCCTCCACTGCACATTTGATATTCTACACACACAGTAAAAATAGAAATCCCAGTCAAATGATCTCAAAGTCTTTACTCTGGAATTAGGACTTAAAAGTGCTGTGACGTGGCACTATGCAAATAAAACTGAATTCAACTGACCCAACTGGGATTGGGCCCAACACTAACATTACTACTTTACACAGGAAGTGTCTTACTGCTTTAAATAATGAGTAGGCTATATGACCTTGAAATCATGCAGCTGTAAGAAAAGAGGGCATGGAAAAGTCTGAAATGGCAGCGAGTCTCCAACGGAATTAAATGGGCAGATTTTATGAGGCTCTTAGAGCCCAAAGGTAAAGCTCTCACTTCCAGACAAAGATAATAAAATCTCTGACTCTGAGGAGAGTTCAGATCACATTTCCTCAGCAGTGAGGATGCTGGGCCTGTGTCTCTGCAGCCTTGTTTCTCATTTACACCACCGCCTTGTCCTTCATTTCCATTTCCTGGTTTTTGAGTTTGTTGCCTGAAGCAACAAACAATTCTGTACAAGAATTACACGACACCGAGACGTAGAGCCTCATAATCATAATGAAATTCTTGGCCATTGTGTCAACAATGAAATTCTGTAATAATGACTGGAATGAAATGAATTTTTAACAATATAAAGTCTAAGCAGTCTTTGTAAAGGTCAGGCAAAATGATGCTGGATTTCATAGGCCAGTACTGTCACTGATATCATCAGGACTCTGTTGGACAAGCTGTGTGTTGCTGTTTCTTACTAGCAGACATCCTCACAGCTGCCTCTACATCTTCAGTGAGCTAGTGTTGGCCAACGTGTCTATCCAGCTGTTTCATTTGTTGAGCCATCTTAAAGTCACAAGTTGGAAAGTTCATCATCCTTAGAGATAAAACAGAAATCACCAGGGGTATGGGAAGTGTCGGCCTTAGAAGTTTGATCTGGATCAGACTCGCCCCTAAACTAAAGCCACCGCAGTACTTCATCAGACCTGCTTACTATCCAGCACCTTATCTCTTTAAAGCTCTTCAGCTGGGTTTAAGTTTTTTAAGTGGGGTTTTTAATCTTGGAATGATTGTGTGTAGTTTTATTATTTTGTCTCTGCTGTGGAACAAACACCAAGACATTCACTGTACGTTACACATTTGGTGAGTAAAGTAATCACATTGTAATATTAACAGTTACTGCTGACAATAGCAGCCGAATTAAAATGAGAGCACACTTGAATGTTAACATACAAATAATAAATATTTATTTCACTCTTTATAAGAGGATTTACTGTCGACACAATGTAGATCGAGGCTTCAGGCAACAAATCACCAGGCAGCTCTCAGAAACAAGAAAAAATGGGAAATGAGACCAAACGGTGACCGACCGACTGGGAGCACAGTCTCTTCCTAGACAGAGAAAACTGGCGATGAACGCACCAGCAGCAGTTATTCCTAAGCAGCCAGCCCACTGTCCCACCGGCTGGAATTAGCCTGGAGGCTTCCCACCCTCTTCCCTGCCCAGCAGCCCCAGCACTGAGCCTCCCTGGAGGCTTACAGGAAGTGCTCAATTCTCACTGATAAGAGAGAGCACAAGTGAGCTTTTAATTAATCTGCTTTAACCAGAGGAAAGAGGGGAAACGGGGGGCAGCGTCTGTGGCATCTTCAGCCCCAACACTACCTCCTTCTTTCTCTGAGCTCATTAGAAAGTCGCAGTCAGGCCAGCGAATCACACCCCACTGAGTGAAGTATTGATGGCCCTGTACATGTGCTAGACCAGACTCTCTCCCTCCCGGGCCCTGACCCGGACACTGGGGAGGGGGTGACGGATGGAGAGATCAAGGTTAACAACAAGTCGGGGGTGGGGGGCTGAAGAAGATGGAAAGGGAGGGTGCACAATAGCAAGAGAGATAGAGAGGTGAGGAAGACAGGAACAGAGGCACTTTTCTTGAGGGAGCAAGTGAGTGAAAGAACAATAAAAGCAAAGGATGCTGGGAGGGAAGGATGGCACAGAAAGAGAGGGAGGAAGGGTTTGAGGCTACAAGGAAGCAAGGGAAGGGGAGGTAACACAGAGATGAGGGACATCATGTTCATTCTGAGCTCTCTTGGAGGCTAAGCGGTTGCCCTGGTGATGCTGTTTAACGAGACCCCGCATTTAAATTTAATGCCATGATTTTTCATAAGCCACGTTCTGGTTACTCAGGGAATCCCACAGTGACCTCGCCATGGAAACATTTCAGTAGGGACTAGTATATAAACCAAAAAAACAAACAAACTGCAGACTGCTCCTTATATTCCAGCTCAGTCCTGTGTGAGGCCGGTGTTGTTGTAACTCATCCTCCTCGTGCTGTGGTACAAATATTTTTATTTCTACTTCTTAGAAAGTCTCTGGAGTCTTTCACACCGACACTTTGATCCCAGAGGCTGCTGTTGTGTATGAAGTGAAAACACACACCCAGACACACACACGCGTCCTCCCGTCTCACCACCACATTCACTTCCCCCATGATTTCATTCCCTGCATTAAAGCCATTTTCGTTTTATATAACCTTCTTGTCATTGTATAGATCCCATGATCGTCGTGTCTCCTCTCACTCACATTATCCACATTGTTTGTGCCTGAAATCGTTGTTTTACTCGTTAGCGTCGAGGTGAGATATTTCTACAAGCCCAGAGTTTTCCATCTCTCTCGTTGGTTTTTGCATCTGCTTTTGTTTTTAAATCAACTTCTGTGTTTCGGCTTTGCAGAAATAAAACAGAGACAAACCACTGTCAGGGAATCACTTCGTTATTCATACAGTAATCCAATCAATAACATAATGAGGAGGAAGGATGAGACGGGGAGCAGGAATAATCTGCAAACTGGGGGCAGAATGAAATTAGTTCTACGATGAGCTCCGATGTAAATAAATGATAATAATCTAAGCTTCCAACATGATTTTCCAGCTGGGGACTGGATCCTCGGAGGCACACACGCAAAGAAATGCGTGCGCGTGCACACACACACACACACACACACACACTCCTTTAGCACAATTAAATCAGACATAATCAGAAAACACCCACACATTCAACTGTGGTGCCCACACATACTTTCCCAGACTCACATATACAAGGACACACACGCGCACACACACATACACATGCACAGGGTTGTGTCCATTCAGACTGCAGTGCATTGTGGGCCGGTGTGCAGCTTGTCAAGGGGAGACGCAGCTTCAGCAAAAAGAACTGATTGTTTTTTTTCTTTTCCTCTGGATCGTCCCTCCAGCACAACGCCACACACACACACACACACACACACACACACACACACACTCACTCTCTGCTTCTGTCACTGACCAGGTGCTCACATAGACTTACATTCACTTCCAGGAGACTTACCAACCTTTACCAAAGCCAACACTTGCTCCAACTTTACACTGTTGTTGTTTTCATAAAATTCAAGGAACTGCATTGTGGGAACCAACTTCTGGTCCCCACAAAGCTAGGGCACCCCTGGATTTTTGTCCCCATAAGAACAGAGAAACAAGACGACACGTAGTACCTGGTACTGCCGATCCACTATACACATGGCTGCATGTGCACAAACACACACTGCTCACACTTGTATTCATGCTGACTCACTTTGATGCTATACTTGTGAGGACTGTCCACTGATGTGCATTTTTAACCACCTGCTGACAGGCGCCGTTTGGAAACAGTGCAGCAGTGTTTCCTGACATGGTTCAGCATGTCATCCTGCAGAAAAATCTTTTTCCAGATGAAAAGAAGCTCATACACATGAATACTACAATAATAAGTGCCAAGAGGCCCAACCAGAGCTCGGTACTGTCGGTGTCTGTGCTCACACAAACATGATGACACGCACGACGATGGCTGTCTAGCCTGAATGATCTGGCTTCTTAAAGTCTGTTGTTCTGAGGTCTGGTTCGAAAATGAGACCTGATTAAATAAAGTTTAATTAATGAAGTTCTCATTAGTGTCATGAATTATCTGACATCATTTTTCCAGCTTCGTGCTGCAGAGCCAGAGACAGGATCACCAAGGAAAACCACAAAAACAAGTCTGTCGTGAAACAATCACCACAGATCGAACACACAACAGAGACTTACAAAGAGAAGATGATGGAAAAAGTCTGTCGTCATGGGCTTTCATTTTAATCTACACCCCAACAGTCACTTTATTGCATCTAGTGAAGGAAGCCCCCTCATGTTGGGCGACTTCCATCACTTTCTATGCTTATCTGAAAATCTGACACACACACACACACACACACACTGGGGGCCATATTTAATAACGCACTAACCTAACCGTGGCGGTTTGATGAGAGCTGTGACATTTCTCCAGATGGATTTCTGGGTCAGTTCACGGCTGGCTGCGCTCTGCAGCGCTGCATCGGTCCTTCGTAGATATTCTGGGGACCGTGACTCGCCTTGTGTAACCATTCATTGAGACGGGTGGCTGTTAACGGCTACGGGCTAAACACACAGACGAGAGCTGGTGTGACGAGAAGGACGTGCAGTGCAGCTTTCTGGTGGAGGGAGAAGCGTGCTCAACACAGCGGAGTGTTTTATGAAGAGGCAGTGTTGTGTGTGTGTCATCAGACGCCGGTGGCGTGACCAGAGGGGACACACCACTGATCACACAAACGGGGAGGTTCATGTTATTAACACACAGTCTCACAGTCTGGAAGATCAAAGAGTTAACAAGAATATGATCACTCTTACACACACACACACACAGACACTCAACTGTACTACAAAGCCAGACCTGGTGGCGACAAAGTCACACTCGTTCTCTAAAATAAACTAAAAATATTACATTACTTGACCCGACATGAAGCTTAAATTTCAAACATCTACTTTTCCTCCCACGTGTGACTGAAAGCTCTGACTGTCTGCAGCGAAATCGCCCTTTAACCTCTCCCAGCACTGAAACGCCACAAAAAGCAAAGAGTGAAAAAAATATTACAAGTAAA